CAATGTCACAGTCAGCAGAGAGAGGTTCCCATCTACGTTCAGCCTATAAAACTATCCTGACACCACCCGGCTGCTTACTTAGCTGATTATATCCAAAGACATATTTGAAAGCAAGAGTGAATTTAAAAAGGAGTTAGAAAGGAACCGGTCCTCTCAAATCTCTAAAAAGAAAAAAACCTCTGATGGAGAGAGGAGGGAAGGAGGAGGAAAAAAAGCAGTAAACAAGTTGGATCATCCGATTTCGCCCTTCAGAGAATGTCTGCACAAGAACAGATCCCTAGTTTAAAAGTTTAACCCAGTAAAAAATGTTTCTTTTTCTCTGGACACTTACAGAGAAAATGAAGAGTTTGGCGAAGGGAGCCCGTACTGTCTGCCTTTGGATTTCCGTCTTCTTGCTGTAGATGGGTTCTGGCTGTTTCTGCGAAGCGGGGGTTGCCGAGTGGTGAAAAAGATGTTTGAATAAACAGGAAGTACTGTGCGGCTGAAGCACACTCGAAGAGAAAACACACTGGAACATTGCCCTTTGTAGGCAACCTCAGGGAGGTTTGCCTCCACAGTAGCTGGCTGGGCTCTCACTAAATGACAAAGAAACCACAAGAATTCCTCAAGTAATTCTTCACTTTCAAAGTTGAAAGATCAGTTGGAGCTTGCAGGTAATTTTCAAAGTTGCATTTAGCACTTAAAGAAATCTATTAATGCCACACGTATCTAAACCGCTCCAGGTCTGCAAGCAGCGACACAGCACACGCAGTGCGCCCTGGCTAGACCAAGCCCTAGCCAAACACAGCTCATTCACGCAGACAAATACACACCAACAGGGTTTCGGGAAACCTGCTCTTGAGATATTTTTGTGGTGACATTTACATAGGCAGGATGCTTTAAAAAAAAAAAAAAGAAGAAAATTCAGATTTTCAGACTTTAGAGGATTTTGTCACACGTATTTTTAAAGAACACATTGTCCTGCATTCCAGGGATATACCCTGGATCTGGCTTTGACAGGCTGTCCTTTACATTTTCCTTCTCCATCAAGCAAACTACCTGTTTATCTCCAGATGCCTAGCTTGCCTACTGGAACACTCCTTAACCCACCCCGAAATGATTATTACAGTCCTGTCGCCTGGCACCGGAGCAACTCAACAGAGACTGTAAAGAAAAGTAAACTGCTGAAGGCACAGCAAGTCAGCTTGAAAAATAGGAGGAAGAGTTGAACAGCCATATTCAATAACAAAAAAAGGAATCCTTCTGAAAATGTATTGCTCCTGTGGCAATGTTCTTCTGCCACGGAAGCTACTGATTTGTTATTTAGCGTGGAATGCTGGACTGTCTGTCATCCAGGTGCTAATACTCGGCTAAAATAACTCATTGGGAGCTGTCAGTGGGATGTTTACATAGGCCCCAATCTTTTCTTCATAGAAGGAAATTTTTTACTGGAATTCATCTTCTTTTGATCTCACATTCAAAGCAACGGCAGCTTGATAGACATTCAAGTCTGAAAGCAAATCCAGACGCTGAAGATAAACCGCCAGAAAATGACAGGCAGAAGCATCTAAAGCTTATAAAAATGAAGAGAACAGCATGTCGCCTGAGTATTACAATAGCAGAAATCAAGAGACATATTAGGTGGAACTGATCAGCCACAAAAACAGTTCAAAAGGCAGATCATAGAAACAGAGGACTAGGCTAGAGGGAAAAAATGGGAAAGATCTGGTTTACTGCCTCACCTCCCTCCTGAGCCTCAGTGCTTCCACGCCTGCCTTCTCCACTTTGGGGAGGGGTGGAGTATCCAATGCAAATGTTCCTCTCTAACTCAGCTGGTCCAGTTAGAGACCAGGAAATGATTTCCTAGCAATCCATTTTCAAGGGGCAGGAGAAAAAGGCACTCTTACCTTGCTCAGTGTCCAACACGCTGCATTTTATTACCATCCCCTGCAGCTGCTCTGCGTTGCAGTATCAAAAGGCACACAGCCTGGGCGCCATGAAAGTGGGCGGTCAGGAAAAGCATCTCTCAACAGAAGAGCTATAAGTAGTCCGAGATGGGGCTAGAGAGCTCTAAGCAGTCCAGTTCCCTAAAATGGCTAGTTATGGAATGAACACAAATGTTCCAGCTTCAGTCACACAAATAGATGTGTTCTGTCCTACAGATATGTAACTGCTCAACACCTAGTCGCTTTTAAGCCAACTAGGGTAGTTCTGTAAAGGAATTATCACAACTTTCTTAGAGACATGCAATTAAAAAAAAAAAGCCTCTTATTTTCATTAAAGTCAGCACATACAATGAAATAGTAATTCTAACAATTTTGTTTTTAAAGCGGTTTGTTAACAAACACTGAATGTGAACAGGCAGCATCAGGTTAGAGGGCAACAGAATTCCACATTATAATTTAGCCTGCGGTTATTCCTGATTGCAAGCACCCTCTGGGACTGCAAAGCAAGATCTTCTTTTGCAGCACGCTTGGATTTTTAAAATTAGTGCCCCTCCTTTTTTGCATAATAAACTAACATTGAAATATGGATTTAAAAATGTACAAACCACTTTTTAAAAGCTGTAATCAGTTTAGGATTTGCCTTGTGCAAACGAGTCCTGGGTAACTAAGTTACAAATGCAAAAAAAACAAAAAACAAAAAACAACCAAATAACACAAACAAAGCCAAAACCCTATTAGATCCTAACAGTATTTTTTCAAGACACCTCTGCCATGCCTATACAGCTATCAGATATGCTAAAGTTGATGATTTTTGTTTGAATTGTATTAGTTCAATCCATCAAAGTCGCCATCACTGTTCTCTAACCTTAAAAAAAAAAAAAGCAAACAAACATAGTTGCTTTCAACACTTTTTCCAAACATCTCCCAACTAAATATTCCATGTTGCTGTAATTGTTAGATTTACCAAAAACACAGGGAGGTTTACTGTGAAAAGCGAAATGCAATTTCCCTTATACATGATAAAATACGTTCTTCCTCTACACAGAATGCTGCCACCACCACTGAGATGCAAGGAGCAGCAACACTCCACTTCTCATGGCCATTAGAAGTCTTTTTTAAAAAATCTGCCATGTATAAAGACCTTCATTAGTATAATTAAATGACTGTTGGGTTTTTGTGATATAAACAACTTTTGATATGTCATTTTAAAAACCTCATAATAACATCATTAAAGAGCCACCATTTTTAAAAGAGAAATTGTCTGCTCAGGGCCATGGAATAGTCATCTAGCTCTGGGCCTCTTCCTCCTCTCCCTTTCAGACTTCTCCTGGACTTGAATGTCACCATAGACCTTGAATCCTTGAATGTGAAATGGCTTCACGCTAATTGCTCTAATTGCTTGAAGATGTGCAGGCAGGTGAAACCTGATCCCCGTGGCCATTGTAGAGACCAAGAACAACACAGGAATGTTTACACAGTGGTTTGATTTTAATAGAAGGGCTGAGTTTAAGACAGCAAAAACACAGCGAATAGGTGACCTCTTAATGTAGTCCTCCTCTAAAAAAAAAAAAAAAGGACACACAACAAAATATGATTTCATGTTCTAAAAGGCAGTGTCCTAAATACCAAGGTTATTTGCTTGACTCTTGGAGATGAGTACATGTTACATTGCACCTGACATTTTATACCCGAAACTCTACCCCGAATATGTGTGTGTGTGATTTTTTTTTACTTTAAAACAAAAAAGCACTTTATGTGTCAGTCACCTTACAAACAGACTATGACTCTATGGTATTTCCTAGTAAGTGCACTCATTTAAATTTTAAATTGAATATTTTTCACTGCTATAATACTCCCTGTCCCTTAAAGGGGAAAGCTTGGGTGTCTCCTTGTTTATTTCTTTGCCTCTTCTGTCCCCATCCCCATTTATGGAATTCTTGACCCTTGTCCATTTCTTGATTGCAGTTGAAGTTGAGCCCAAATCCTCTCACTCTGGTGCTTCAGACATTTGTCTAAAGGCTTTCGGTATCTTGTTTCTTTGTTGCTGTGTGGGACTGTGGTCTGCTTGCCCCTAGACAGACCAAGGTCGCCATTAGAGTGGCCAAAATAGCTATTCAAAAACACTGGCTATTCTCCTTGATATTTTAATGATTTGGAATGGACACTGAGGTCCGAGGTTTAATGATAACTCCCCAGGGCCCTCTCTTAACGGGGCACAAATGTAACCAAGGATGGACAAGAAATACATGACAGCAAGGCCAAGATAAAAATACAGCAGCGCCTACAAGGTATCATGAACAAAAGAACCCACAAAGGTGAGGGGAAGTGTTAGGTATTGAGATAGATAGGTAGGTAGGCAGGTAGGTAGACAGATAGCTCAAGGATCCAAACGTATAGAAGCATTTCATATAGAGCCAAGGAAATACTGCTAAACAGAATAGGAATGAGACATACACTACAGTAGGAAAAATACGGCCAAACAATGGAATTATTTTAAGGTTAAGCTGGGCAATTAAGGCCAATGATACACCTTGTAAATGAGAACAGAGAAACAGGAAATACCCCATACAGCAGGGAGTACTCTCTAACTGCTGCTCTGCCTGTATATTAACTTCTGATGATGAAATACAAAAAACAGCAGAAAGGGGGAAAAAGTCCTCTTAAGGCTATGAAAACTTTACCTATATAAGTTAAGTAATAAACATAGGCGCTTCCTTTCCTGGACTATTTGCTCCCCCCAAGACATTGAAAGAGAAAATAATGAATCAAAAATAACTGCACAGAACATCCCTTTGAATCACAGCCTCCCCACACACATCTATAGACATTCCTACCTTGTTCTCAAAGTTATAATCCCCGGTCGGGCACGGTAGCTCACATCTATAATCCCAGCACTTTGGGAGGCCGAGACGGGTAGATCACAAGGTCAAGAGGTCAAGACCATCCTGGCCAACATGGTAAAGTCCCATCTCTACTAAAAATACAAAAATCAGCTGGGTGTGGTGGTGCACCCCTGTAATCTCAGCCGCTCAGGAGGCTGATGAAGGAGATTCACTTTAACTTGGGAGGTAGAGGTTTGAGCGAGCCGAGATTGGACCACTGCACTCCAGCCTGGCGACAGAGCAAGACTCCGTCTCAAAAAAAAAGAAAAGTTATAATCCCCTATTAAGAAGAAATGCCCTCCCCTCTGAAAAAGGAGGGGAGACCAGCATCCATTTGTACATTTAAAGATTAAGTATAAACCAATCCAAGCCAGTGAGAGAACACAGAAGAAAAAAGTAAACAGGCCCCTACCCCTACCCCCAAAATAGTTCCCCTTTGAAAGTTCTAAGCAGTGAGTGCCTGGTACCGAGGGCTGCCCTGTTCCTTGGAGGGGTCAGCAAAGCTATGCTAAACTGACAGGTTCAGTTTACAGCAGGCCAGAACTTTGTTTGGATATACTGGCCTTGTTCACCACCAGCTTAACAACAGATGGCTAGAAAACTTTCATTATGTTGCACAGGACTGAACTGCAAACAACCCAGAAAACTGTGAAAAGTTTAACTCCCTCTGAACCAATGTGCCAAACCAGGGCCTGCCCAGAGCCAGTGAACCAGCTTAGGGCCAAGGGGGCTGTGGAAGTGATGGTTAAAGTAAGGCTACCCAAGTCAAGGCAAGGCACCTTTCCAGGCTCCAAAACAGCAGCGACCCACCCAAATCTCTATTTAACTCTTCAAAGGCCAGGCCATATAAGGAGTTGCATCGACTATGCCTTCTTTACTTTTCCAAAATGTACTGTCAGAATTTCCCTCCCTTTGGAGAAAGAAAATCTTCCGCCAGACAAGTCCCAATCCCCAAGCTGCCGTCTTGCCTTCCCTTCTCCTGGAAGTTGGGAGCACAGGACCAAATAGTCTCACCCTAACACCCAGAGTTAAATTTGATTTATCTAAATCTGTTTATAATTTAAATATTCATTAAATAGATTCAATCACATGAACCCTAATATCTCCTAATGCTCTGAGACAGGTTATAAATGCACCTTCAAAGGTTTAATTCAATTGGCAATCTGAGAAGCCTTATCACTGGAAATGTGTTATTTTCATATTATGCAAGAAATGAACAAATGTGTTTTCCACAAATGTATTTTAGAAGCCACCCTTTCCTGTTATTGAAAGAAAATTGTGTTTATTACTCCTTTAGCATAGTGTAAACTCATAAACGTCAACAGAGAGTACAAGGAAAACTGTCAACTAAATATTGTTTCCTTCATGAGCTGTTCTTCCAAGTCAATTACGCCTTTCAACTTCTGGGGCATTGTATGATAAACTGGCAGTAAAAATCATTCACATTAATATACCATGGTGCCTTGCCTGCAAAAGGTAATTAAAGAAGTAAATGACTCATAAGAATAGACATATTAGCTGCAAAATGAAAGGCAACTGAGCTGCCACATAAAAATATGTACCATTAAGATACTGCATTTTCATATTCCTGTAATCAGCTTCAGTAGACTAATGCTTATTTAATCCAGTTCTCTGCTAAGTCCATCAACAACTGTTTTTTGCTGTTTTCTCCTTGACTGAACATTATGAGAGCAGGTTTAGAATAAATACTGCAATGAGATTTTTGCATACTCAGTTGAAGAACAGGTTTTTACATTTTAAAATCTATTTTTCTTTCTCTGAGAAATACAACATAAAAAAAAAGATTACTGGTGAAAAAATACGTATGTATATTGTTAGTAGACGTGTCCCTTTAAATGGCAGAACATTTCAGCAAAATATTTGTTTCCATAATCACTATTTCTGACCTGTACCACTATCGGCATAAGGGTGTCATGCCTCCACTTGCCAGATCTCAGCTTCCTTTATGAAGCACTCCCTTTTGTTAATAATGTCTTCCATTAGCATTAGCAGGATGAGGGCAATTTATCCTTTGGCAGGGATGTAAGGAGAAGGCAAGAAATGAGGAGGGGGTTAGCGTGTGCGGGGTGGGAGAGTATCTCAGACATGACTAGCAGCCTCTGAGTCCTTTTCCTTCCAGGGTGTTAGACTGAATAAACCCTGCTCAAAGAGAAATGAATTGACCCTCAAAATAACTGCTCTATTTTCCAATCTCTGGCTTTCAAACTGACATTTTGCTCACTTCTCCATATCCCTTTATATTTCAGCACATCCTCACCAGCCCAGCCAAGCCACAGCAAAACATCCTTCATACAGTCTGAGAATTTTCACTCCACCTGCTCACTTCTCTGCTGTGGGAACCTTGATCTTAACCAGTGAGATGGGTCCACCATTTGTACTGTTAATATTTTGGGGAACATTAGATGCATGAAGTTTCCTGGAGGCGGGACAAATGCCTGTTCTGACTGTGGTAAGCAGGGCTCTTTGTTGATAACTGATGCAGTCTAAAGCTTTTGTCATTTCAGTTTGGGAGTTACAGTTTTCAGAACTCATGCAGCTCCCCCGATGTCCAATGCCAGCAGTGAAATCAGCCTAGGATATTTGGTCTTCTACCATGTGTGTCAACAAGTCATCAGCCTTCAATAACATCTGAATACATCTGGATGGTGCCCATTAACTTAAAAAAAAAAAACCCAAAAAAAAAATCCAATCTAGTTTTTTTTTTTTTTTTTTTTTGGGTGCAAGACCATGGGCTTTCAATAAAGGTAAAGTTCTAGATTTCTATACAAGTTGTGCCTTCTCTCCTTCCCTCCCCCTGTGAATATATAAATCTCTTTGGCTTTAAAACTGATGAGCAGTCAGCCAGGCCCTCAAGGACAGTGCAGGATGTGAGGGTGGCCCTACAAGGACCCTCCAAGATTTATGTATCTTTTCGCAGTTCTCGGAACTATGGAGAGCCTCCCAGATTTAGGCTGGATCTCTCTTTGTAATGTATTATTGCCTCAGTGTTCGAGCAGACACCACATGGAACCACAACTAATGAGCTCTAGTCCTTTTTCTAATTAAGGAACAAAGGTTCCTGTGTGCACAGAATGGTGACGCTGTCTGCAGAACGCACGTGGAGGAAGAAGCGAATGCTTCTAATTGCCTCAAAATGGGATTTTTAATATTTAGGAACATAATGGGATCGGGAAATAAGAACATTTCCAACATCCTTTACAAATAAGCCTTTACAAAATATTGTTAGCTGTTAATAATACATCATTATCAAAAATGGAAAGTCATGAATACAGTGCATGTAACCTTTGTATTCATGTGAATTAACCTATATGTACGAATACAATGATACATGAATTAGTTTTTAAAAATACATTAAAAAAAATAAAAGGCCCTTCTCTGAAAAAGAAAGGCAAGAAGGCAGCTCCTCTGAGCCTGATATTCCTCAGACCTTAGCAGATTAGGATTCAAACATGTAATTAAGAAAGATAACCCCAGTTTTTATAGTAATTAGGGGCTGTGGGAAATAGGATACTATCTCTCAAAAGTGTTACAAATATACCACACTTCTAAATAACCTGCAATGCTTGGAAAGTATACTCACTACCAAGGGCAAAGCTGCTATGCAGTGAGGGAACAGTAAATGACAGACTGGCGTTCAAGTCCATTAGCTGCTATGTGATAGGAGCACATTCACTGGCACGCGACCTGTGAAAAATCTTAGATCTCTTTAAATCTTTGAATTGGATTACTGCATTAATTCTTAAGAACTGCAATCCTTCAACCAAGTCAAATTACCCTCATTAACAGTGGAAAAACTGCCTCTGCAATAAGTTTTTTAAAAAAAGATATTTATTACCTATAATCACTTTCACATACTTCACCTAGAAATATGATGAACTAATGCCAAGAACTCTGAAAATGGCATCCTGGTTTCGCATATTAATTTGGGTTAAAATAAAAATACAAATGCAAGTATTTGCATGCTATTTAAAATTTTTTTTTCACATCTCTAGGAAATTTTCTTTTATGATTACAGCCCTCAGATAAGAAGGAAATAGCTCCATTTTACAGGAGGGGAAATTGGGGCATACAAACAGAGACGGAGCCAGGCGTCTAAGCTTGGCCGGGCTAATTGGGGTAACGCAGAGAGTCGCCTGGTCCTCTGTTCTGGGCTCACGCTGTTGGAATTAAATCAGAAATTCAGATTCATAATGGCACCATAATACAATGCACTGACTTCTCTAAATCAAACTCAGTGAAGTAAACGGCAGGCAAAATAAATAAGACAGGAATGCAGCTTTAAGTGTAGAAATGATAACTGCAGTAAATACCACAACAGAAGCTGCCTCAATTCTTCCATCACCAGATTTGCTATGACGTTTTAACCTGCCTTGAAAATTCATTGAATTTAGAGTGATTTTTTTTAAAAAAAGAAATGTTAATTGATCTACTCTGCCCTTGTTACTCCCTAAAATGGTCTCATCTGAAATGTGACGACAGCTTGATCGACTTTGAACAACTTTGGATACTTTATGGGAAATGAACTCTTTGAAGCCCCAATGACTTCTATTCCTCGGCTCTAAGGATTGTTACTGCTTTGGTTCTATTAATTCCCAGCACAAGCCAGGGCACGAGAGTCCTCATCCCAGTGAAGCCAACCAAGTGGAGACAGGGTTGAGCACAGGCAAGCCAGTCTGCATTTACTGAAACAGACTTTTTTTTTGAGACAGTCTCTCTCTGTTGCCCAGGCTAGAGTGCAGTGGTGTGATCTCAGCTCACTGCAATCTCCACCTCCCGGATTCAAGCAATTCTCCTGCCTCAATCTCCTGAGTAGCTGGGATTACAGGCTCCCACCACCACGGCCAGCTAATTTTTGTTTGTTTGTTTGTTTGTTTGTTTTGAAACAGTCTTGTTCTGTGGCCAGGCGCCAGGCTGGAGTGCAGTGGTGCAATCTTGGCTCACTGCAACCTCCGCCTCCTGGGTTCAAGCAATTCTCCTGCCTCAGCCTCTCAAGTAGCTGGGACTACAGGAACATGCCACCATGCTCAGCTAATGTCTGTATTTTAGTAGAAATGGGGGTTTCACTATGTTGACCAGGATGGTCTTGATCTCGTGATCTCCCCGCCTCCACCTCCCAAAGTGCTGGGATTACAGGCGTGAGCCACCGCACCTGGCCAACAGACTCTTTTTATATTATGTGTTCAGGAATGGGAAAAGGTGAACAAGTAGAAGTTGCTTTCCAGACTTGATATCAATCGATACTTCTAAACAGCCACAATAAAATGCTAACTGGAGTTTATAATAAAACCCAGGGGCACTACAAGTTTCCCAAGTACTCACAGTAGTTGCATGCAAAATCTGTTTATTTCAATTTAAAGATTTCAAACAAAGTAGTCCTTACTTAATATATGATAATAAAAACCAATTAAATAGAATATCATCTCCATTGATCCCAAAATAAACTGTAACTTTTATTTTGACTATTACAAAAGTTTATTTAACAAAAAGTCTAATATGAAAATGTACATGAACTATTTTTTACATCATAGTAAAACAGGCCCTATGGAGAGTTTCTCCGCTGAACAGCCATTATTTATACTTGTTCCAAGGCTTCTAACATGATGACACTATTTCCTCATATTACCACCATTCATCTATCACAAGATTCATAAAGGGATCAAATCCCCGCAATATTCCTCGGACATGTCTGCCACCATTTAATTTCAATGATAAGTTCTTGTCCACAATTTTTTTCAACTCAGGAGGGTGAGCTTTGCTCATGATGGCTACTCCGTGGGCACACAGAGGCCTGGTAACAGAATGCCTACTGTAACTCTTTTAAAGGTTGAGGATCCCTTATGCAAAATGATAGGGATCAGAAGTGTTTTGGATTTCAGATTCTTTAGGATCTTGGAATATCTGCACACACATGGTAAGGTATCTTAGAGATGGGACCCAAGTCTCACCATGACATCCATTTATGTTTCGTACACACCTTATATACACAAAGCCTGAAGATAATCTGATATAAGACTTTTGACAATTTTGTGCATGAAACTAAGGTTTGATTGCAACTCATCACATGAGGTCCGGTGTGGAATTTTTCGCTTGTGGCATCATGTTGGCACTCATAAAGTTTCAGATTTTGAAGTATATCTAGTTTTGGATTTCCTCTTAGCGATTTCAACTTGTAACTTCCAAAAGCTCTGTTCATGAGCTGTAAGATGAGCATTTCGATTCCATACCAGATTTGTAGTCATAGTTAATATAGTCTAATATTAGTGAAAATAGCATTTACCAATCTCACTTTGTGTCAGGATTCACTATCCTTCCAATGACCTTTCAAGGTGGGAATTATCATGCCTATTTTACAGGGAAGGAAAACAAGGCTCAGGGTGGTTGACTCCCTTGCCCAATGTCATACAGCTTCTAAGTATTCAAATACTATTACTGTCTGGAGGAGAAGGTGAAGCTTAGGGGAAAATCCGAGAGGAACTTTTCAAAAGAGGACTATCAGAAAAGAGAGGCATCTGTCTTGGGACATTAAAAAATCTGTCAAGAAGCCAGGCATGGTGGCATGCACCTGTAGTCCTAGGTATTTGGGAGGCCACGGTGGGAGGATCTCTTCAGTTCAGAAGTTTGAGGCCAGCCTAGGCAACATAGTAAGACTTGGTCTCCAAGAAGAAAAAAAATGCCAAGAAACTGTGATCCAAACACCAGGCTGTCCATGACTTGGAAGACTCATTGCACACCTCCTTCCCAGTGACACTGCATGTTTTGAAGGACAACACAAAAATTACTCTTCTTCTTTGGCTCTACCATTTGTAGAGTCCCCTCCCCCACTTTTAAGAGCTTTGTGACTGTCAATCAGGTGCTTTTCAAACAATAAATGCTTTAGCAGTGACCTCATAATTAACTTGGTTTCACTACGCAGGCAACTTTTCAAAACAAATGTTAAAGTTAACCATTCTACAGGCACCAGAACATTAGCTTCTATTTACACATCAATTAAACACATAATTTTTGGTGTCTACTTTGTACTAAGCACTGTCTAGGCACTGGGCCTAGGAGGTGAGAACAAGACAGACCTGGCCCTTCTCTTTCTGATGCTGCAGTCTAGTGGGAGATAGAGTTAAGACACCAGCAATCAACAAATCCAGAAATAATTAGAGATCCACCACGAACGAAGCCTCAGAGAGAGGCTTTACTAAAAAACAACTTAACTTCTCACTTTTAACCTACCCTAGATAAGTCCATCAAGGAATTCATCCACGAAGAGGTGCTACTTAATATGAAACCCACAAGTAAAGAAGAAGTCAAACAGCCAAGGAGCAGAAAGGAGGCTCAAGAAGGTGGAGCACAGAGGCTGAAAGCATGAAACAGTGCTTAAGAAATTAACTTACTGGCCGGGCGCGGTGGCTCAAGCCTGTAATCCCAGCACTTTGGGAGGCCGAGGCAGGTGGATCACGAGGTCAAGAGATCAAGACCATCCTGGTCAACATGGTGAAACCCTGTCTCTACTAAAAATACAAAAAATTAGCTGGGCATGGTGGTGCGTGCCTGTAATCCCAGCTACTCAGGAGGCTGAGGCAGGAGAATTGCCTGAACCCAGGAGGCGGAGGTTGCGGTGAGCCGAGATCGCGCCATTGCACTCCTGGGTAACATGAGTGAAACTCCGTCTCCAAAAAAAAAAAAAAAAAAAAAAGAAATTAACTTACTGAATCGTTAGTGAAACAGAACTGTGTTGCTCAACTAATCCTATGTCTACTTCATTCTTCTTCAACCGTTTTAAGGTAAACACAAGTATACAAATTACAAATATGTTTTTAATCAAATGACCTAATAAGTACAAAATGAGTCACGCTGGCCAAAAACAAAACAAAACAAAAAACTGTGAAAATGTTAAGGAATTGATGTAATTACCATGGAAAACAAATACCTTGCAGTTGGCCCTGGTTCCTGCCAGTGTGTACCATTTTTAATGCTGCAATGTTATGTGGTAGGCAGAATTCTCAGGTGACCCTTACATTCCTACGCCTGGTATAACTCACATCCTTCCAGAGAGTCAATCATGTACTAATCCAGGTGCTATGTGAGGGGATTTTTGCAGATGTAATTAAGGTCCCAAATCAGCTGACCCGAAGAAAGGGAGATTATCTGAGTGGGCATGATGGAATCACATGAGCCCTTTCAATTGGAGTTTAGAGCTCAGAGACGGAGGAAGTCAGAAATTCTGACGCACAAGAAAGATGGATGCGCCCCCACTGGCTTCACGATGGAAGAAACCATGCGACAGGAAATGTGGGTAGACTAAACGCTCAGAGCAGCTGCAAGCTGACAGCCAGCAAGGAAGCAGGAACCTCAGTCCTACAGCCAAAAGGAACAGATTCTACCAACAACCTGGATGAGTTTAGGGGCAGATTCTTTCCCAGAGCCTCGCAACAGGGAAAGGAATCAGTGCAGCTACCACCTGCATTGCAGCCTCCCTATTCTCTGAGCAGAGATGCCAGTAGCATTGCACCTGGACTTCTGACCTACAGTACTATGAGCTAATCAGGAGGTGTTTAAACTGGTAAATTTGTGGCAATTTGTTATGCAACAACAAAAACTAACACATGCGGAAAAAGAGATTAAATCACACTGCCTGCATCTAAGGTTTATAAAAGAGTTTCTTTTACTCAATGAATAAGAACTCAGATGGGAGGGAGGCGGGAAGAGAGATAAGGGGGCAGGAAAGAAAGGGCAGGGCAGGGCAGGGCTTGCATTCTAGTCCCACAAGGAACAACACAGTGACCCGGGGCAGCTCAATAGCCTTTCCTCTCTGGGACTCACTTTCCTCATCTGCAAAAGGTTGGCAGTAATAATGGGTGGTGGTGAGGGACGTCTTGGGAAAACACTAAGTGAAAACAGTTTGAAAGTTGTAAAGCACAATCCAAGTTATTTTATATTCTTTCCTGGACCATTTTCCTTTTTAGCTTCCTTTTCTAATTATTTCAATTACTTATTCTAATAATGATCATGACACAAATATGGAATTATGCTTGGCTAGAAGAGAGAAGAAGCATTCTAAGGTACTGTGGATCTTCTTGGTAGCCCATGCAAAGGGTGTGGGAATACCTTCCTGGGAAAAAGGGAAAGGAGGTCAGCATGTGGTCCCTCGTGAGGAAAACCCTGTCTCTCATCTTCCTTCCCCTCTTTGTTGCACAGTCTTCTGGAAGATGAAGGCAGAGGCCTGGGTCCGAACCCTAGCTTCACTCCTGACCTTAGACAAGTGATGGAACCACACTGCACCCAGTTTTCTCACATGTAAAATGGAAATAATAATTATACCACCTACTAAGGCTGTTGTGAGGAGTAAGCAATTTAAAATACATAAATTAGGCTGGGCACAGTGGCTCACATATGTAATTCCAGCACTTTGGGAGGCTGAGGCAGGAGGATCACTTGAGCCCAGGAGTTAGAGACTACCCTGGGCAACACTGCAAGATCTCATCTCTATAAAAAATAAAATAAAATGCATAAAGTACACATTAAGACAGTGTCCAGCACTTTATAAGCACCATGTAAGTGTTATGATGATTACTTTTACCACTGCTATGAATACGAGCTGATTTTTATTTTCTAGAAAATCTGTTGTCCCTCCAAAGGAATTTGGAAGATGGGGCTAAGTAAACATGTAAAAGTATGTTTATAATAAGGCTTTTACTAACGCCTTTCACAGTGCACTATAAAACCCATCTAACCTCTGATGAAAAAGAAAACCCTTCTATGCTCATGATTTTGCCACGTAATTTTACTTTTACTTGAATAGGAAAAAAAGTATACACGTCTTAAAACCTTGGCTTATTGCTTTTTAACAACTAGTTTGGGAAAAATGAGCAAAGATTCCCCTGCTAAAAGAGCCATGAAAGGTAAGAAATTTCAGCAAGAGGGTCAGAGATAAAAGCACTCAGAAAAAGAAGGCAAAAGAAAAACAAGACGAAGTCTGACTCCACCTCCAGAGCAGAGACTTCTCATCCTGACTAGTGCTTGTATTGAACTCTCTGTGGCCTTTTTCGCAGGGCTGGAGATTGAGCAGTGAATTAGCTCTCCCCAAACGTATAACCCAGCATGCAAGCCAGCCATGCCTCATAAACAGGCAATGAGAGTGGTGCCATGGGAACCCTGATAAGGGCATGAAATGTCCAGGGCTGGGTGTTATTCAGAGTTCCCAGTGCAAATGCTAGAGTCTCCACACCTGAATTGAGAAGATGCATCTCATTCAGCAGGTAAGATGGACTGCCAGAAGAGTGGACAGGAGAGGTTCTTGGGCAAGGGGCTGGGTATGAGTGTGCTCTGCTAGAAAATAAAAGTGACCCATTGGGCGCAGTGGCTCACGCCTATAATCCCAGCACTTTGGGAGGCTGAGGTGGGCAGATCACCTGAGGTCAGGAGTTCGACCAGCCTGCCCAACATGGTGAAATCCCATCTCTACAAAAAATACAAAAATTAGCCAGGTATGGTGGCACTTGCCTGTAATCCCAGCTACTTGGGAGACTAAGGCAGGACAATCACTTGATCTCAGGAGGTGGAGGTTGCAGTGAGCCAAGATCGTGCCACTGCACTCCAGCCTGGGTGGCAGAGTGAGACTCCGTCTCGAAAGAAAAGTGACCACAAGTGTTTGGGACCTGACAGACAGGTGTAGAAGGCTGAGAGGGAACTGGATGAATCACAAGAGATAGGCTGGGCTTTGCAGAGCATGTGCAACAGTTTGGACTGACTTTTTGGAGGGGGGTATAGAGTATGAATCTTAACACACGCATGGATTTGTATAATCACCAGCATGGTCAGGATACAGAAGGGCTCCATCACCCCCAAACTCTCTTTTGCCACCCTGTTGTAGTGACACCCTCCCCACCACCCCTGGCCCCGGGCAACCGCTTACGGTGTCTGTATCATGGATTTGTCTCATGGAATCATACAGTATGGAATCATATGGTATGCAATCTTTGGAGACTGGCTTCTTTTAAGTCTCTATTAAAAATACAAAAATTAGCTGGGCTGGTGGTGCACATCTGTAATCCCAGCTACTCAGGAGGCTGAGGCAGGAGAATCCCTTGAACCCAAGGGCGGAGGGTGCAGTGAGCTGAGATCGCACCACTTCACTCCAGCCTGGGTGAACGAGTGAGACTCCAGCTCAAAAAAAAGAAACTGCCCAGCTGTTTTCCAAGGTGGCAGCATCACCTTATGTTCCTACCAGCATCATGGGAGGTCACTTGCTCCACATCTTCACCTGCACTTGGAATTACCAGTAATTATTTTAGCCATACACATAGTGGTATCTCATCCTATTTTTTTTCCTTTCCCTTTCCCTATAATTTTAATTTGCACTTTCCCTAATGTCTGACAATGTGGAACGGCTTTTCATGTGCTTATTTCTGGTCAAGTCTGTTGCCCCCTTTTAAACTGAGTATTTGTTTGTTTTTTTATTATCGGGTATTGAGGGTTCGTTATATATTCGGTACACAAGTCCTTTGCTGGAGACATGATTTTGAAATATTTTCTTACAGTCAGTAGCTTGTCTTTAATCAGGGATTGTATCTGCAGTTTTGGAAGTTCTTCACACCATGTTACGGAGAAAAGATGGAAAGGATGTTTAGATAGCAGCAACTTACTAGGAAATGAAAAACGCAACCCGGAAGCCATGGACGGGCCCAGTGCCTCGAGCGCAGAGAGAGGGAACAAACAGGGTGCTGTCATGGCACGCGGGAGGTTGGGAGAAGCAGTCCCTTCAGGGTGATGCTTTTAATGCTGTGACTAATGATGCCACGTAAAGGTGATGTCTTCCCGTCCTCTGTTTTTAGTGCCACTGAACCATCCCAGGTAATAAATCAAAGAAGCCAGGGTGGCTATTTGTATGGCGAGATAAGGGAAATTAATTTCAATGCCCAAACATGGACCTCCTTATATTAAAAAATGACTTAGCAATACCAGTCCTTTTCATGAGAATGTCTTGGAAAACCAACACCTGGAAAACACACACACAGGGCCAATCCACTGTGTATTTTCAAGGGAAATACTGTTGTCTCCTGAGATTGTGGGAAGCCCAAGGGGAAGAACACTTTATACAATGAAGAGCAAAAACAAAAATAAAAAACAAAACGCTCTTTGAGCAAAAACTGTTTGTGGACCTTCACAAAAGAGAGCACTATAATAATAAATTGCATGTAGTCGTCACACCTTCAATTCTTTTAAAAACCTTCACTATGCTTTACAAACTGCTCTAATTGTCTCGTTTTCCCCGAAATTCAGACACTTTGAGTTTAAAGTGCATAAAAATATCAGCATTAGGACTGTGAACAAGAGCATAACTAACAATGGTGAGATTCTGAGGCGGCAACACAGCTAGAACATAGAGTTAACATTTTGGCTGAAATACTGAGCGGAAGACAAAGTGCAAGGGAAGCCTGGAGACTCCTCCTGGTCCCCAGGGGCTGCGCCCTCCTCCCGGCTCTGAGCGCGGCAGGGGGAACAATGTAAAGCCATCCATCACCAGCGAGCACTGCTCTACTTGCTGGCGCCAAGTGAGCAAGGCTGCTACCTGTCCAGCTTGCCTGTGAACGGTCCCACACACAAAGCCCCTCTGTGCTCCAAGTTCAAACTAGCACTTATTCTGGATGCCTGAATCACCTGGCATTTCAGCTGCAGCAACTGTGCCCTACCTGTAACTTGGAAAGGTCTTAGTTTAACCTTGGATCTACTGACCGTACTCTGGGTCTGCACCAAGTAGGCACAATTTTCCCAGGTAACCCTCTCTCTGCTTCCCTTCTTGCCCCCTATAATCTCTTCTCTGCGTAGCAGTCAGAGGGATCT